GCATACCGGACTTGGGATCTAAATGAATACCCTATACTTCCAAGAAATACTTCTCATTCGTGGACGGTTAAGTCCAGCAGCTTGCTAGAAAAACCGAGATTTGTGCTGTTTGGATTACAGACAGATCGAAAAACAAAATATTGAAAATGATGCTGGGCGATTCGATCACTGTCAATTAAAAAACCTTAAGGTTCACTTAAATTCTGAAGTGTTTCCATATGAAGACTTTCGCGCTGATTTTAAAAATAATACAACTAGTATACTGTATAAGGCCTATACAGACTTTCAAAAATCGTATTATGAGAGAGACTACTGTCAGCCATTATTATCAAAACTTTGTTAAAATCATCGTTGTCGATTTATCACATCAAAACGACAATGTAAAGTCATCGACCGTGGATCTACGTATAGAATTTGAAACAGATACAATTATTCCAGAAAAGACTGCAGCATATTGTTTAATATTACACGACCAGATTATAACTTATAACCCATTTAGTGGTGATGTTAGAAAATTGTAAATTTTTTTTTCTTATATCATATTTGTGTTTTTTTTTAACCTTATATATTGTAACCTTATAATTATTTCCTTATTACTAATAAATAAAAAAACTTGTTTTTAAATATCATGGATGTTTTTATTTCACACAAGAAAAAAATATTTATTAAGACTTAATAAAATAAATTCGGTAGACACAGATCAGATGGTTTTGACTTGCGGTCTGTGTAATCGAACAGGGGTGTTGGGTCTCTGTTGAAATACATGGGTCCGTCGTTCTCATCAATAGCCTATAAAAATTAATAATTATTTATCATATAAATTATATTTATATATACAATATTACCATTGCTATAGCATCCTGTAGGTTGGTACAACTCTCTTGTGTGGGTAGAGAATACTGCAAAATGGGGTACTCTGGCGAATGCTGCTTGTTTGTTGCCGACGGAGACAAGGGTGAGATTAATGCCAGATTTCCCTAAAAAAATATTTGATATTTAAATATGGTTTGTAGATAAAATTTAAAACTGTTTATTACCTGTTCATATAAACTGCTGAACGATGGTGGGGAAATAGCTATTGAACGCTCTCTATTGTTTCCCTGTAAAAATTTAGTATATTAACATAACATAAAAATAAAATAAGTAAAGAAAAAATATTCATACCTCATCTTTTTTCACTTTTTCCATCCTTTTTGAACGATAGAATCAGTTGCGTATAATTTTACTTGATTTGTGTAAATGTAATCGCCCTGACTAATACCATATTGTATTGCCTCGTCAATAACATGTCTTTGGATATAACTATTGTCAATTTTTCTCACATGATTTCTCATTATTTCGAGTGTAGAGTTTTGTAGCGGTACGTTTAATTGTAAGAATGTAGCGATTAACTCAATATGATGTAGTACAATTGGTTTAACTATTTCAGATTTTCTTTTAATAATTTCATAAATAGTAGATTCTAAATCTTGCAACTGTAATAGATCGGAGCGATTAAACAGAACACGACATCCGTCTTGAATTTTTGATTCTAAAACGAGTGTGTTCTCCGATTGATACACCATACTAGTTAAAGAAATTGAATCCGTCTCCAAAAATAATTTTCGATTATATTTTTCTGGTTGATCGAGTATGAACGATAGAATGTTGCCCATAAGTCTGAATATACGCATTAGAAAATCGACAGGAATATTTACATGACGTGAAGCTGTTATAATATGTATCTTGGTGTTGAATTCGTCTGTAGGGTCTAGTCCAATGTTTAAAAACTTCCGATCAAATCAAAGTCAAGTTACTACAGTCGATGAGATTAGCTGGTGGTGCTGGTGGAGTATATTTAAAAGGTTTCTTCTTCCAAATATTAGCCATATTTATTTTATAGAACGAAAAATAATTTTATTTTAAAGACTGAGAAATAAATTCAACGCTGAAAACGATACGAACACTCGGGCGGGTGAAGAGCGACTGATTTCATTTTACGGTATTAAACGTGTACATTGAATATTATTTGGTAGGGGGAACATCTGCGTGTCACTGCAGGGATATTGCATGCAGCTGCATGTCCGTTACAATTGTTTAGATGTTCGGTAATAAATATAACGTGTACAAATATTTTAAATAAAAACTGAACACAAATATTATGTTAACGGGTGCGTGATAACATATAATATATATAAACACGTTCGTGATAAGAAATAATTTTCATTAAATGATAACATACATCTTAGAAATAATATGTACATTTATACAAGTTAAATAGGGCTAGTTATTACCAATAAGTATATGTGGCGGGGTGGCGCAGTGGCACGGTGGTCGCTCACCAAACCACAGGCTCGGGTCCTCCTATCTGAAAGTTCTTCAATTCTAGGTCCTGGTAATGTAAACGTTTAGATTTAAAAGTTTTAGAAGCTAGATTATTAAAATATCTGGGTCCTGAAACATTATCAAAAACCAGACTTTTACACGCCAAATAAAAGTTCCAGTTAGCGTGACCCCTATCACATCATAATTGATAAACAAGCTGGTATATTTTTCTAAAAAAATATTCGAAGTCACAGCTAGAATACCTGGCTAATAGAGGTATCATAAATTCAGGTTTTCAACAAACCTTTTCGAAGACAAATTCAATCCATAACGGCCGACCATCTAAATGGTATAAAAACCATAACATACGTATTTTATTTTTACAATCCATGCAATCTTTTTTTTTATGAGTCTCCTCCTCAGCAGATAGTCGTTCACGAACGCGGTCTGGTCTATATTTATCTCCGAAAGTATACGTTCGATCATTATATAATTCACTAACTCTTGTATTATCAATTTCAATACCTAACTGGAATAATACATTTTTCTGATTTTTTGTTTCAGTACCTAGTTTATTATGTAATTCTAAATATTTTAAATCCGAACGATCACATGACTTGAGGAAAATTCTGAACGTTAGATTCTGCCAATAATTTACTCCTATCTGAACGTTCTTCAATTCTAGGGCCTCGTAATATAAACGTTTAGATTTAAAAGTTTTAGAAGCTAGATTATTAAAATATCTGGGTCCTGAAACATTATCAAAAACCAGACTATAACACGCCAAATAAAAGTTCCAATTAGCGTGACCCTTACCACATCATAATTGATAAACAAGCTGGTATATTTTCTAAAAAAATATATATTATTATATACTACATTTTTGTTTCTGAATTTTTTTTTTCCCCGATCTCCATAAAATTTTTATTAAATGCGTACTGATATCATTTTTAAATAATATAAACCTTATATAATATTAAATAAAAAAACCATCTCATCTTCGTGAGAATAATTATTATACTACACGCTAAATGTATACAATTATATTATACGTCTCCTAAATGCGTATAAAAAAAAAAAAAAAAAAAACAAACTATAAAATAATAAAATCTTATAAATATAAAATATTTCACCACCTCATATTTACGAGGATTACCATATAACCTGTTAAATGTATATAATGTATCATTCATTTGCATCGATTCAAAAATTATTAAAATTATACGATCTAGATAAAATGTAAATAATAACATATTTTCAAATTTTTTTATTTAAATAATAAAACAATAAAATAATAATAATAAAGGTTAATGCGATTTCATTGGAAATCTATTATAAAACTCTTTCTATTTAACCCCTTGTAAATGAAGCTAACAGGCGGTACTACACCCAGATTGTATGTTTCAATTTCCACGTCGTCCATCCTGATTGCCTTCGGAAGAAACACGTTGATTAAGCCAACGCCTTCGGAATCCGCTAGCATACACGACACCACAGTGCCAAATTTGGTGTCGACATTTTTCATAGACCGTATGGTGTGTGGATCGTTCTTGAGGAGTTCACCGACTGAAAGATTCTTGCAATTCACTTGTGCTTTTAAAGATTGGAAAAATGCCATTCTGTAAACAAAAAAAAAAAAAAAATGTTTGATAAAAAATATATTGTCTAAACGCTAGTTGTACACGTCTACCGCAATATAGATATTTTTATTATTTTATTAGAGTAAAAATTGACTCACTTTAAGTTTTTGAGTAACGAAATTAAATTTGGTGAAGATTTCGAAGGTGACACGGGGCCTGCGGGTGAACTACGGGTCGAGCTGAACTAAAACAAAATTATCGGTTATTAATATTGAATTAAAATTATGTTTGATACAATTTATTGTATATATATATATATATAATTGTTTAAATAATTAATTAAATTAATTCACTTTTATTTTTAATAAATCGAGTAGTTGTGGATGGTTTGACGTAATTGAATGTGACGAGGGAATGAATTCAGAACTGAAAAATATGACTCTTGTTAATTTCGTATGATATAATATAAATGAATGCTATTTTTAAAATATTATAGGCATTATACTAGTGTAATACGACAGCATATAATAATTATTAAATAAAACTCACTTTATTTGAACGGCGGTGTTTATGAATATTTGGAACTTGTCGATGGACGAAATTGACTATATGGACGAGAGGACTGTTTTGAGCGGTCGAGAAAATAGGACTGATTCAATATTGAGTGGACAGCGGAAAAGTGTCCGAAATTATCGCCATCGACGGCCACCCTCACCTAAATTGTTCGGCGTGCGCAATATTGAACGGGTACACCGATTGATATACACACATGTGTAAATTAGAGTGGAAAAGGTCGATCCTCGAGTGGATCCTGCGCGTTGTATACCGGAATGCGAAGTCTTGACCATGTGTGTCCGCTGGGTCACCAACGCAGCCTGGCAAACCCCGTCTATGCCCGTCGCCAGATGTGGCTATGGGCGCATGTAAACTCTGCCACAACCTTAGATTGCAACCTTGATTCTGCATCGAGTTAGCCCTAGGTATACTTGCTTGCCCTCTAATTTCGGTAGCGTATTTGCAGGTACTTCGAGCACCCAGTGTGCGGTTGTGCCGTTCCTCGGTCCCAACTTCTTCTTGACCGATAGCCTATCGGCATCTTCTTGTGTGAGACCCAACTCAGGGTTCTGGTCTCTTAGTCCATCGACAATCTCTCCCTCCGTCACTTCTGAGTCCACGTCGTATATTATGACTCGGTTTTCTAGGTTCCGATATTCTGACTTTCGGGAGGTTGCTTATCACCTCAAACGTGTTACCATCATCAGGTATTATTATCTGAGTACCTTTTATAACAGTCTTAGCCCTGGGGTTACTGATCTTCCCTTTGACTTTCGACCATAGTTCCGCTTTGGCTGATGCCATCGTCACACCGCTAGGAACTTCGATGGTCAGCCTGGAGGCTGTCTTGACCTCTCGACACTTCTCGAGGGTCTTTTTATTGCTCTTTCTTGGGTTATTCTTAACTCCCTTTGTCTGGGGCTGGCCTGGTTTAGGGTCCCGCTTAGCAGTTTCGGAATAGGTTGCTGGTTTCGTCCGAGCCGGAGGGGGTGGGGCAGACGTAGCCACCCGTTCCTCAGCCAGTTCGTCGGCGTCCTCCCTGGCCTGAATTTCGGCCCTTAATTCGTCGTTCTCGGCCTGCAATCTCTGGATTTCCACCGTATTTTCTAAGAGCGAGTCGCCATTGGTGTTCATCATCGCTTTCAGCTGTTCTTGGGTCAGCTGGGACCTACTGCCCAGTCTGATAACTTCCATGCACAAGTCAGTGTATAAATCTCTTAGGGCCTTGGTTCTTTCAATGATCCCTTCATACCCAGCCACTTTTAGTTTCTTAGTTCTTTCGGAATGGGCAAAATGCTCCAGCCATCCGATGAGACTATTCACCTGCTTCGAAAGTTTCCCAGCCTCAGTGGTCTTTCTTTCTATCGATTTGCCAGTATCTATGGGACTCGGAGGTCCTCGTTTGTGAGAGGTGGAGGCCTCTATGACCATGCCACCACTTTTCTTGCCGTTTGTGCCATCGTCTTCGTCAGAGGAGTTGCCACCTCCTCTAAGTCTAAGTACATCCGTTGTCATAATCTCCTGTTTTTTCCAGTCCAGTTTCGTTTGCGCGTTTTTGGTACATCCACTTGATGACGAGTACCGCTCCTTGTTGCCTGCTATACTCGGCGCACGTTAAGATCATGACCAGTCGCGCATTCAAAACAACTTCCTCCACCGCACCGCTCGCCATAGTGGCAGTTGCCGGTTTCGTATACGGAACGCCTCATGCGTCAACAGAGACGTGCACTTGTTTATAAAACAATAGAACTCACTCCATCACACTGTATAATCGATTGTATGACGGTGCGGCGTTGCGAGACACTCGTCGCGGAAGCAATACAACTCTATCTCCCTACCACGTTGTATAATTATTTTATATACTTATTATTCAAATTAAATTTTTTTATTTTTAGAAAAAACCAATAGATCCTTCACTTTCTTTAGAGTCTAAAAATTAATAACATATTTTAATATAAAAGAAAATCTTTTAAAACAATATTATATGGTTATATCAAAGTATTTATTTTAAATAATATACACGTTAATTGTATCACATTATTACATACATTTAAAATAATTACTATGAATAATGAATATTTAAACATTTATACAATGAATAAAATAAAAAATATTTTAAAAGTATTATACAAATTTACAAATAATTAGGTACATTCGTCATCAGACGAGTCTGTCGATTCACCAATTGTTAAAATATGACGCGGATCGGGCTGGAGTTCATCTATCATCTCGTCGCAAATGAAGTCAACATCCCAAAACTTCTGTTCCTCGTCCTTCACGTGTCTTATGAAAGACTGCCAATCTTCTGGTTTTACCCTGTCAATGGCTTGGTGAAGCAGATGTTTGACGTCGATAGTCTTGTATGTAGTGTTGTTTGACTTGACATATGACTTCACCATTGACCATACCAATTCGATGGGATTTAGCTCACAATGGTAAGGGGGCAGTCTCAAAACCGTCTTTCCGGCATCTTTGGCTATCTCGTCAATTATGTATGCACTGTATCTAAAAAAAATATATTAATAGTGTATAGTATGAATAGTTTATATTTTAATACTAACCTTGATTTTAAACGTTGGACGATGTCTAGGAGATCATTTTTGGTAAGTTGTGAGGGGTCGATTTCTTCACCTTTAGACACCAGCCATTCTACCATTTCTGCCTTTTTCCAATTCGTCGTAGGAGTTTTTTCTTTTTTCACGGAGTGATATGGTGCATTATCCAACACAATCACGGCATTGTCTTCTAAAAGAGGCAATATTTCCTCAAACCATTCTTGAAATGTTTGACCAGTCATTTCATCATGGTAATCTGATGAATTTTTTTTTGACTGGAAACACAATAGACCACCTGACACGAAACCAGCTGCAGACCCAATGTGTACGACAATTAACCTGGTACCTTTGCCACTTGGGTTTTGGGGGCCTGTAGATAGACCTTCCAGGAATGCCATTCTACTGGAAGTAACGGTTGTGTCAACCCACACCTTACTCACACAATCACCGGTGTTGAGCCAAGTTTCATCGAGGTAATATATAGGTCTACCTTCTTCACGAAAACGACGAATTGAAATTAAATATTTTCTTCTCCAACTTAAAAGGTCTCTTCTCTCTGTTAAAATACTATTTCTCTGGCGTTTTGTAAATTTGAAATTCAAGCTCTTCAAAACTTTCCGTAAAGAGGTTTCCTTCATATTTGGCAATGTATTGTCTTCGTTTATAGCGGTTAATACCTTCGCAAGTGTCGGTAGCTCTTTATTATGCCAAAATGAATGTACTTTTCTCCGGATAGCGTTCTTGTCAAAATCATCTATTTTATCCACAACACCAGGTCTGTTTCTTTTTCTGTTGGGTGAAGTCAAGGTCTTAGTTTGGTTGTACTCGGATACTGTTGTTTGCACCTTATTCAATCCAATACCAAGTGTATCAGAAATACGTTTCATCAAATCGCGATATTTAATTTGGTTGTTTTCTGATTTTAATTGCTTATAACAATTAATTATCATCATTTTCTGTGAGCTGCCAACAGGCTGAAAATATAAAAATATTAACTATTATTGAAATGATACAGATAAACATTTTGTTAGTTAATGGTATTGCTAATTGTTTTAAATATATTTTTAAATTATCAATTTTAAAAAAATTGAAAACAATATTTTCACCAAAAAATATCTTAATCCAATATATTTTGTTCAAACCGTAAAGAAAAAAATATTTTGTAATAAAAAATACATTTCGGTTTAAATATTTTTAGTCTACAACATTTTGATATAAATCTTATCGTGATTTTCACTGTTAAATAAAAAATATTACTATAAAATTGTTTCAACTTACTTTGCCGTGAGGATTCTTCTTCCGTGAGGAAATAAATGTTGCAGCCTCCTCATCAGACATATTTCACGAGAAATTGACGTACAGAGAACAATTAAAGCGCGTATAGAAAAAAATCAAATGGGAGCATACGGAGCAAAATCATGCAAGCGCGTACACTGTTCAGAACAGTAATAAACAGGCTACCCACTACGACACGGTGTATGCGGTTCACATTTGAAACAGCGCTGTATAACTGTCAACGGATGTTTGGGGAACCAATGAAAAATCGGCTGCGCGTAACGGACGCTAAACGGTCCGCCGCCCGGTCATGATCTTAACGTGCGTCGAGTATAGGTTGCCCGGATTCCGATCGGGCCGTTTTATTTTTGTTGTTGTGTTCATTTTTGTTAGGTTTTTGGGGGGGCTGCCCCGTGTAGCTCTGGCCGCCAGCGGGTTAGATCGGCGGTTGCATATTCATGCCACGGGTTAGAAGTCCGGAGTCGGCCTACTCCGGACAGTTTGAAAGCCTCTTAGCGAGCTAAGTCAGGCGGGGTCACCACGACAAGGTGGGCTTTCGTCGACCCCGTTCTATGCAATCAGTGCGCATCTACGTTTACGCGTAAGGACAATTTGATCGTCCACCAAAAGAAGCATGCAGGTGTACGTTTTCCGTGCACTGCATGCCCATCGACATTCTCGTACAAAAACAACCTCAACAAGCATCTGAAGAACATTGATGGTATGTACTAAAAATATAAAGTTTTATTTTATGCAATATTAATTTATTATTTTCCCTAAGGTATCGTTCCGGCTCACCTCAGACCATTACCAGCTAGCACGACTGAGCGTCATCCAGTTCGTGCCTCGTATTGTTGCCTCCGATAGCGCAGCTGGTGACTCAAATATACAACGATGACACATGCGTCATAATAGAATATCAGGATACAGGTTAGTTGTATTTATCAGAATTAGTTAGATTTTTAAAAGGGCCCTCCGTTATTTACATAAAGACGTTAGATTTTTTTATTTTTAAAAGAAATGTCACTCGTGCTAAATTTTTAATAGATTCAATACCACATTTTTATTAATTAGGTTTTTTTTTAATTTTAATTTTAATATTTAATTCAATATTTATTTTATAAGGTATTATACGCGCTCTTCCACTGCAACGAGGAAAAATAGAGATCGCCCTGAATATTATAGTATCAAATATACCCGCTGGTCCCTGATACGAGCTTCAACATCAGTCGAATATGCCAAACGATGGGTATGATGATATGTGCGTGGCAGTTTTAGAAAATGCTCAAAATGCAGGGCTATGCGAAGTGTCAGGTAAGATTTTTTATACATTTTCGTCGCTAGATTTTATTTTATTTTATTTTAAGTAGATTCTTATATGACTTCGGTGCGTGGCAAACATATTTCCATCGCCAACACAGTGTCGGCTGTTAAGGCGAAAAAGGCTCGTATGGAACTGGTTAGATCTCCGGGTCTTAGAGAAATTTCATCGTCAGGAAAACGTAAAATAGTGTGGTATTTCGCGAAAAACCTAAATAATATTCGAAATTATCCCGACTTTCTTCGTTCTCTCGAACCGGCTCTGTCAGACAAGCTAAAAACTCACTTGCAGGAACATCCAATAAAATTTCGCTTGAAGATCGAGGCTACGTATAACCGACCAAACGTACCTCATTCATCCGAAAATCGAGCGTTTACAACATCAGCCAAAGAAATATTTATGGGCACAAAAATCGAAACAATAGTTGAAGAATCTTTTATGAAATTATTAGCTGAGGAAGACGCTTATGTTTCTCGTGGTAGCGGGTTTACGTTAGAGTCCATCGATGGTTTACTACTAGCCGTTTATAAGTATACACCAATATCTGGTTCGTCATATATACAATTACCGAAATCTATCATAGATAAATGAACAATAATAAATCCTAAAAATACAGACCAACAGTGTTTTAAATGTGCTATTTTAGCAAAACACGTTGCAGGAGAAAACAAATTTCGTGTCAATGAAAATTATACCGAGCATGAGGACAAATACATTTTTAACGGTATTTCATTTCCAACACCGCTATCGGATATTTCCAAATTTGAAAAAAATAATCAGAACGTTTCTGTAAATGTTTACGGACTTGAAAAACGGATACAGTTATTCCAGAAAAAACTGCAGCATATTGTTTAATACTACATGACCAGATTATAACTTACAACCCGTTTAGTGGCGATGTTAGAAAATTGTAAACCTTGTAAATATTTTATAACTATTTTATACCTTGTAAATATTTTATACCTTATAACTATTTTGTACCTTATATTCTATTAAATGAAAAAACTTGTTTTAAGTGTCACGCTTGATTTTTTATTTTTCACAAAAATGATGTACAAAAAATTAAAATAGTTGTCGCTTAACTTTGCGAACCGGTGTTGGATGCACGATGAATGTTGATGGTGGTGGCGTAATAAATTGGGATGGTGATAGTGCCATGAAAAAAGCTGGTCCGTCGTTTACGTCGACCGATTGTTGATTAGAAATATCGTCTGGTGTCTGTGGGTCGTCAATATCATCTAGCGACTAGAGAAATAAATATTAAATAATGTTTTTATTTTAAAAATATGATTATATAAATTACATATGATGGTCTGGCTCTGAGTGTTGCGTATGTAATCGAATCATATTTGAAATATTTAACA